TGTGTGACCAACATACACACAAGAGCCATCTGCCAACGGTATGCGACAAACCACATTTAATTGTTGTTCTTTTGGGATAGGATCCTTTATGTGTGATAGCATGGCGCGCAATGAGGATGCTAGTTTGTGTGCCATGTGGATATCAAAGCGACTTAACTGCCCGGTGATTACTTCGGAAGTTCCCTGCATATAAGACATGTAGAAGAAGTTCCGTGTAGTAATTTCTCCTTTAGGATTGGGGGCTTGTGATTGTGCTTGATCCCTGAAGTAGTTCTTGACAAAACTGAGGGGACATAACCGATACAGGTAAGCAAGTTCTTTCTTGAGATCACCGCTGTTTCAATAGCCACAGCACACCTTGCGTCGGACGACTAGAACGTTACATCGGGTCAGTCAATCTTACTCGCCTGTACTTGTTACGGTTGCGATCATGCCTGATCTAACCGACCTCGATGATTGTATGCATTGTACCTCTCCACGTATGACGATCTGTGGCAACAGACCTGGACAGTCCAGTCCATTCTCTTCGCTAACGACGGATGCCGAATACCGAGGGGCCAAAAACAATACTCCCCGGGAAGAGGAGTTACCCGTTAGCTTAGCTACTGGCTACCTGGCATGTTCACGGATGACACATGGTGAAACGGCCTTCAGTTAAAATTAGCTGCGAAATAAGCAGACTCTCGGCTCTGGTGGATAAGCACTCGCGGAGCAGCAGCGACAGTGCTACCAGGATGCAGTGGGCTGAGATCTGGCACGCAAAAAACCTTCCAAATGTTGAAAAGTCCGATGACGGCACTCTGACATGGCGACTGTGAACCAGCATTAAATAAGTTCGCTCGCACCCGCTGCCTTGTGGTGTGGCTCTTGAGTCAAAGCGTTAAAGAAGACAACATCGAACAAAGAATCCGACGTCATATCCACACCGAGAGCGCACGGCAACAGGGTCTTACGCGTGAATCTGCGTGCGCTACATTCGTCCTTCTTCCCTCGTCCAACTACCTCCAGTAACAAAACAGTGTCAGTACGGTCTCAACACCACGCCAAGTGCCAGACTTTCACGAGGGTCACTCGGTTCCTATGCTTGGGGTGTTTGTAAAAGCGGCGACTAAATTAAGGAGTCATTACAGCCCAATTTTCCGACTTCAAAAGGATCGAGCTATCGTGCGTCGGTTGGCAACCTTCCAAGCCCGTCTTCGTGGATTTACGTTCTTCGGACATATTATAGTGCAGAATGGGCTGAGTATAGTGAAGATGGATTTGCTAATGGCGCTGTCAGCCTCTATTCCTTTCTAATGCAACGCCAGCCGATTGTCCAAACCTGTTAGCCAGCTGGTGATGGGATTGGACGCAGTGACTGCTGTGGCGTTAAGGTCACCACACCTCTCCTGTTTACGGCAGTGGTCATAGACTCGCGTTGCCTAAGTGACGCGCGTCTTAAGTCATTTTGAGCGTCCTATTGGTCTAGTGCATCTATCGCGAAGCCCATTATGCGGGCGCAGTTAACTGACTGACCTTGACTGCCCTGAGGATATCATCCTGCTAGGCTCAAGCTTTGGTGAGCTACAGTGTGTAGTTTCACGGGCAAATGAGATCGCTACTGCGGACAGCTTATCCAAAAATGCCGGAAAGACCAGATTATTCTCGAGCTGCATCCGTGAAAAGGAGAAAACACCCCTGGGGATTAATGGCCGTCAACTTGGGGGAGTATACAGCTTTAAATGCCTCAGTGCGAGACTGCTACCGAATGGACAGAGTAAGGACAACACTGTTTCCCGAATCATAACATCAGCCAATGATGTTGCTTGATGATGGTGGTTGAGGAGAGGAAGAATAAGAAGAAAAGGAACGAGTTAACAAAAATAAGACTGTAACCTTCAAGGGGTAACGAAAGAAGTCCTCGCTATCGCAAGACAAAATTGGTTGTCCCTGAATTTTAGGGCCTTACGATCTCCAAGAAAACAAGTAAATTCACAAAGGCTGCATTGATGCTTAACGCTACTTTGACAATCAACGTAACTCGGCCTAAAGTAACAAATTTAAATGTAGTAGACCGTGGTTAGGTGTACCTCAGACGTGCCGGCTCAAACTGGCAGAAATTCGATCAAAAGGACTAAGAATTAAAGTTTGAGAGAAGAAACTTACCCATAATGTCGAAGAAGAAGTACGCAAGGAGGATGATGCCCACACTGCAGCAGATGAACACAATGGGTAGTACTGTGTTCAGAACTGGGTGTTTCACCTCCTCCGAGCGCATTTGCTGGACCATTTTCAGCCTGAAAAGATAAAAGGATTGAACCACTGAGCACTATCGGAACGAAAGCCAAAGGGCAGCTAGGGAAAGGGAATACCTACGACGATGACCCCTACGAAGAATCCCTACACTATAGAGATGACATCTGAACATTGCCGATAAAGACAAAGGAGGGGGTTTGACAGATTTGCTTAATTCTAGTTGACCCAATTGTGAAAAAACTCGCGGCATTTGGCGGGATTTGAACTGCCTTGCAGCTTAATGGTAGAGCATTGGCTTCCAGTTAAGA